CCAGACATCAAGACAAGACTTAAACCAGTTGGAGAAACATCAGATTATCTTTCAAGAAGTTGATAGAGGCGGAGTAAACTCGAGGAGTTGAAAAACCTATCGTTCGGCTTAGTCATCAAGGAAGAGTGGAGTAGGCTTCGTTAACAGCCGAACCACTATAAAAAATCTCTCTCTCCATATCTCTTTACTTTCTGCTTTATTACTTTCGTGAAAAGTAAATCTAAAACGAAACATTATTTCCGCTGTGCACAGCTCCGAAAGGAGTTGCTTTGAAAAATCGATTAGGGTCTATTCACCCCCCATTCTAGACTCTCATTCGACCCTACCGGGACCAACAAGTTATTTAATAATATTATGTCTACGATATATATGTTCTTTATACCTCTCCAATTAATAATATTATGTCTACGATATATATGTTCTTTATACCTCTCCAATTGTTGTTTGACTATTGCATTGTATACAAATTGAAGGTATAAGTTCTTTCCAACTTGGAATCCTATATTTTAAAAATGGCTAATCCGCTTATTTTTTGAAATATATTTTTATATTATAATATTTATATATTGATTTGTATAATATAAATATTCAATCTTTAATTTCACATATAACAAACTTTTCCAACATACTACATATATAAATGTATATTATATTGACTCAACTCTTTATAACGAGACTATTCATGAATCATACAAATATATAATTATAAAACATAACGTATGCAATTTTTTTTTTAAAGCTAACGTACGTAATCATTATGTTTAAAAATGACAATTATTATTCAATACGAAATGATCATTTAAAACGTAGGACTCATTGATAAAAAGTAATCTATGTATATATTATGCTATTTCAATTAAAGATTGACCAAAAATTTATTTACATTATCATGAATCATATACAAATATATAATTATAAAACATAACGTATTGAAATTATTATGTTTGAAAATGATTTGTATATTCAGTTTAATGGTGGGCAATCACTCAGCTCCCTCAATACATATACTTCCTAAACAGCACCGGCAACAACGTTCCTATGGTTGATTGAGATATACTGTCCTTCCATTCAGTGGTTGCAGTGGCCTTGCATTTTCCTCGTAACCCTAAACAACAAATTCAAAACATCAAATATTTGTACCATTCTATGTATATGTGTCACATATTCAATCAGCTAGACAGGGCCGTTCCAATAAAAATTGGGGTCCTGTGCAATATTTGAATTTGGGCCCCTTTTTCAATTAATTTTTATATATAAATAATAATTGTTCAAAAAGTTGTCTTCAAAAATCCAGATGAATATTTTCTAGAAGACATAAAATCCTAAGGAAAAAATAAAAATTTATTTAGAAACCTATGAATAGATAATTAATCAAGAAACAAATTCTTGAATATATTATTCTGAAATCAGAATTATTAAGTCATGTAAATAAAACAATAAACAAGAATTGTAAAATAATACATAATTTTAATTACCTATCAAGAGAATTGAAGAACTTGAGAGTTTGAGAATTGGAGAATCAGTATCACACGAGTAGAATCTGTCGTCTTTCCCAAATTTAAATTACCTAATCTAGTTCAAATACACAAATATTCAAATTAAAAAAATTCAATATTTGAATTAATTCAAATACCTAGAATTCACAAATAGCACTCTCAAATTAAAAGAATAAAAGTTCAAATACCTAAATTGTTAGGCAGTAAGCAATTTGTTGTAGTTTGAGTCTCGTCTCTTTCGTGATTTCTCTTTCCGACTTTCTTTTTTTTTTTTTGAAAATTTCTCTTTCCGACTTTCTGTTTGTGAAACTTTAGAATTTTGATTAGGTTAATATAGGTTATATAGTTAATAGGTTCTAGATTAGGTTAATTTAGATATTTGTTACGTATGTTGGTGTGAAAGTGGCCAAGTGGGCTTTGGTTTTTTAAAGAAAGGTTCACTAACATTGGGCTTTCTTTAATTGGTTGAAGTCCAAAAGCAAAAGCCTATATATGCTATATATTTTTTTTTTAATTAAGGGGCCCCCAAAATTTTGGGGGCCCTGTGCGCCTGCCCTGGGCAGACATGCCCAGGGACGGCCCTGCAGCTAGATAGATACATAATTCAGTACTTACATCATCAACAGCTTCCTTTAATAAGTTTATTTGTTCTTGTGATATTGTCTTTATCTACAAAATCCAACAGTTTATCACTATGTGAATGAGAGAAAGAGATACATGCATATTTAATTTTCTTGGATTATGAGAGAAATTCGTAACCACTATTCGATAGTGTGCACTGATAAATCCCGCTTTGTGACCCTTGTCGGTCAAAGAACTAACCTAGGTTGCCCATTGGGTTAAGTAAACCAGCCCAGCTAGATTGCCCATATATAACTAGGTAAACCAGCCCAACTAGGTTGCTATATATAGCTATGTAAATCAACCTAGCTAGGTAAACCAACCCAACTAGGTAGCCCATGGCTAGGTAAACCAGTCCAGCTAGGTTGCCCAACTAGGTAAACCAACCCAGCTGGATTGCCCATATATAGCTAGGTACCCAGCTAGGTTGCCCATATATAGCTAGGCAAACCAGCCCAGTTAGGTTGCCCAAATATAGCTAGGTAACCAGCCCAGCTAGGTTGTCCAAATATAGCTAGGTAAACCAGCTCTGCTAGGTTGGCAATAGTTAGTCATCTTGGTAGAGTGTTGGGGAGGTTAAGGTTAGGATACAGACCTTTTTGGTTACTATCCAGATGACATCCTGGGAGCATGGTGGGGTTGTGAGGGAACCAATGAATCTGTAATATTCGTTGCTCTCATATTTGATCTTTCCTGGATTAAGGGCGCCTAAATCTTAGCAGACCGACCCGCAGAGGTGGAACAAGACCCGGGGCCCCAACCCGTGGGGCCTCGGCCCACTTGACCTCGGCCATCATTCAGCCGTCCCAGCCTGGAGAGGTCGTCCACGAGAGGTCGGCCGCGAGAGGTCGGCCGCGGAGAGGTCGTCCGTGAGAGGTCGGCCATAAGCGAGGCCGACCTAGAACCGGTCAAGAGGACGCGGTCAACGCGGATCTAACCATCCCCCACCTTAGGGGGTGGCGGTTAGGGGTGGGGGTTGTATAAAAACCCCTCACCTAGTCTCTTTAGGACATTTAATCATTATTCTACACAAATCCTAAAATACTATTGAAATAGCCTATTTACGGCATTTAATACGATATACGGTCTCCAACGACCTTTACGACATCGTTTCGTTTATTTATTAATTATCTATACTGTGTTCTTATCCGGGTTTAATAATTCGGGCCACCCCGGATTAATTAAATCCATCACACTTATTTTAGGTGGATAAAAGTTAAGTGGACTAAATAACTTTCAAAATTATGTCTAATGTATGATAAAAGACCATTGGTCTTATAACTGCCTATATTAATAGGATTTTAATTAGGCCAAAAATCATGGTGGATGTCACACCCATTATTTATAATGTTCATATCATGAATGTCACTTTGTAGCTCATATGCCTAATGAACCGTGTCATAATTGAATTTCACACCACACTCAACCTTTCTTTATGTCATGACACTTCTAATTTATTATTTTTCACTTCCTTAACTTTAGAGATTTGACATCGAACCTGGCATCTTAATTTAAAGTTAAAACTTGATGTTATTACAATAATACCCTTTTAAAATTCATCACAATATGTTTTAAAAAACATTATTACCATTGACACATTTCTATCGTCTTTAAATACCGGTGGTCCAGTGTTAACCTTTAAATGTCACACTTTTTTTTTACATCACATTTATGTTCCTACCTTAGGTTGTGATTATCTGAACAAAGATAACATTGGCAAGATGATGTGGAAATCCAAATAAGCCATCCAATTACACATCAAACTGTAAATAGACCACTGAACTAAAAAAAACTACAATTGGTTCCTTGAAAAGTGCAAATTCTTGCCATTAAACTTAAAATGACTTGTTTACCTGACGTGTCAATTATTGAATTTAAAAATATTTTTAAAAATTTTATTTTAATAATTTTTAATAAAATAATTATTTATTTATTTATTTAAAAAAAAAAAAAAAAAAAAAAAAAAACCTACCCCTTCGTCTCTGGCTCGTCCAGCAATGGAGACGAAGGGACCCTTCTTCTCCAACGGCCATAGAGAAAAAAGGGGTTCTCCATGGCTCCACTCCTTCGTCTCCGACATATTTTTTTTTTGTTTTTTTTTTTTTAATTTAAAAATAATTATCTTAGTAAAAATTATTAAAATAAAATTTAAAAATTATTTTTAAATTTGATGCCTGACACGTCAACATAATTAACAGATAAACAAATCGTTTTAGGTTAAATTGCATGAATTTGTGTTGTTCAAAGACCCATTGTAATTTTTTTTATTTTTTATTTTTTTATTTTTTTATTTTAGTGGCCTAATTGCAATTTGATGTGTAGTTGAATGACATATATATTTGATCCTTATTCCTTATTTATTGTTGTTGTTGGTGGGTTGTGTATGTGGCTAGCAAATTTGCTAGGCACTTGTTGCTGCCAAAATGGTAGCTTTCGCTACCATACTTTTATTTATTTATTTTATTATTATATTTGTAATATAATATAAAAATAAGATCCATTTTTTGAAAGTGAGAGAGATTTGCAGAGATGTAAAATAAACAGTGGAGAATTTGTAAATTTGATGATGTGAAAGTGAGATACATTTTTAAAAGTGTAGACTAAATTGAGTAAAAACCACTATAGTAGTAGACTATATTGGATATGAACTCCTTTATTGTCATTGACACGTGTCTATTCTCTTTAAATACTCGTGGTCCAGTGGAAATCTGGGGCACGTTTTTCTTTTGGCATCACATTTATGTTCCTACCTTACTGTTTTGCTTGCTAGTGCAGTGGGTCATCTCAACTGAATGCCACACGTTTTTTTTTTTGCTTTTTTTTGCCTGCTAGTGGGTCATTTCATCTGATCTGAGTCTATATAATTGAGTAGTTTTACCACTCCCTAAGCACCAAACCAAACACACATTTATCTATCTATCTCTGGTCTGAAAATGAAGACAGCAATAATCCTTTTGGTTCTCTGCGCCATTTCTTTCCTTCCACTGGCCATCTCTGACTCTGGCCTTCCTCCACTCATCCGCCTCCCCACAAAGCCCCACTTAACAGCTTTTCATTCGCCTATCTTAGACACGGCCGGCAACCCAGTGATCGCCGGAGCCAAATACTACGCCGTCCCAGCCCTCATCGGCGTGGAAGGCGGCATAAGCGTAGCTAACCTCAACACTACCGGAAACCCCTCCGCCTGCCCCACCGACGTCGTAATAAACGAGACATTAGCCGGCAACCAACCTCCCGCCGTGGGTCGTCCTTTATCTTTCTACCCTCAAAAGCTCAAGGGCGAGGCCACCGACGACGACGTCGTCATTTTAGCGCAGTTCCCACTGAACGTGGCCTTCGACTCGCCGGACCCATCAGATCCCTGCGCTAAGGAGAATGTTTGGAAGCTTCAGGCGACAATAGTGACCGGTGGCGTTATAGGCAATGAGGATGATATTAGCAACTGGTTTAGGATTCAGAAGAATTTTAATGGAAGAGGGTACATTTTCAACTGGTGGCCAATCCTTTGCCTTAACTGCAAGATTGGTTACAGCGTAATTGGCAGAGTCGGCGATGGATCTCAGCTGGGAATCGACTCCAATGCCGAATCGCTATATGGTTTTGAATTGGTAAAGGCTGACTGATCAAAGCCTTACGTTGAACCATCTATCAAAAATTTGCATGCAATATGTATGTGTCTGTATTAATAATTTGCTTTTAAATAATGGCTTTGCTACCCCGTTATGAAAAGCCAACGGCAGATGTATGATGTATCCCATAATTGCGTGCAATATTAATATAAAATAAATAATGCTTCTTTTATTTAGGAAATATGACTAGGTATGACAATATCTACAGATATCCATCTGCATGGTTCGAGTTTTTTTTGGGTGATAGTCAATCTTAAAAAATGGATTTGACTTTTATGTTCAAAACCCGTTTAGAACCCACTCGCGACCCACCATATATATATATATATATATATATATATATATATATATGTATGTATGTATGTATGTATGTATGTATGTATGTATGTATGTATTGGAAAGAACAAGTTCGTAGGAGAAAATTAAGAACAAATCACAACTTTACATTTGGAAAATTTGAACGCAGCAGATCATATTTTAAAAAAAATACGGTGACAGTTTCGTAATTATCACCAACTTTACTATGCAAACGCGATGACACATTTAGTATTAACATTTTGCACATTTAGTGTTAATAGTTTACATATTTAGTATTAAAAGTTTGCACTTGTAAAAATACGAAAATACATTGCAATTAGCTAGGGTTCGATTTTAGAATTTTATGACTGACGGTTTGATTATATTTTGGTCCAATAGTTCACTTTTTATTGTTAAGGGCTAACATTTACATTTTTTATTTAAATGATTTTATAGAATTTCCCATATTTACATATTTAATTGTTAAAGATTGCATATTAAATGTTAAAGTATCACTAAATATTGTTTTTATTATTATCCTATGACTTCTGTTAGGAACATTGTATTAGGATTTTGATGATACCAATGTAATGTAGAAAAGTAGACCCCTATCTATTAGCTTTTTCGATCGCTGCTTTCGTCCTAGACGAGAGTTGCCATAACTCCTCTGTAATTCGTGTTAAGCTAGACAAACACACGAAAATGAGTTATGACTAGTTGTTAGGATCTCCAAGACGAAAGAAGACACAAGGCATGATGAACAACAACGAAAGTCAAGCAGGAGTTGTCAACTGCCACGAAAGGACAGTTTTGTTAAAGACTATTCTTACCAAACATTACTTCTCTTCTACAACGAGAAGAATGTTCTACCTGTCTGATTTGACAACATCCTAGGACGATAAGGACCTCATCTTATGGGACACAGTAATCAAGGAGCATTAAATGAAGATGTACCTTCTCCTGGAGCTAAAGGACAAAACCCTAATGCTTTACATACCTTCAAACAGCTACATGGTATAACCTCATTAATGGAGCATTTAATGCATGAAGCTCCCCGGTCCTTGTCCGCTGGTTAAAAGGTTCGAAAATTTCATCTCCCTCCAACGGATGAATTTTCATCACCTATATAAACCCACCTTCATCAACTAAGAAGGTGCTGGTTCTTTTCACTCGACTCATTTTACTTGCAAAAGCTCTTGAACGCTCTCAGATCTCCAAAAGCTTTTGTGAACCAGTGTTAAGGTGTTAAGTTACTTGAAGAAGGTTATTGATCATTTTCATACACCTTAAAGAAGTCTTGCCATTTATTCGAAGCAATCATCTCCCACAGTCAAGACTTCATCGTTGGAGAAATCAAGAAATCATTTTCTACCAGCCTCAACTCTGAAGAAGAAGTTGATAGAGGCGGAGTAAACTCGAGAAGTTGAAAAACCTACGAAGGCTGTCCGGCTTAGTGATCATGGAAGTCTTTGTGTAATTGTACTAAAGAGTGATAGTGTAATCCTTCCATCAGTTGTGGAAGAAGAGTGGAGTAGGCAACGTTAGCCGAACCACTATAAAATCTCGTGTCTCTTCTATCTCTTTACTTACGCATTTTATTTCTGCATTCATATAATCCTCATTATCACCCTTAACGAAAGCTTTCCAAATATCGTAAACTCGTGCAAAGCATTTAAAACGAATCTGACTTTTCCGCTGCGCCAAAACACCGAAAGGTGACTTTTAGGGCATTTCTCGAAAAGAGTCTATTCACCCCCCCCCCCCCTCTAAACTCTCGCTACATTCTATCGGGACCAACAAGTGGTATCAGAGCCAATACCTTGTTCGGTAAAGGCTTTGCGTTTACTGCCTGGTAGATCCCTTATCAAAAACCTCTTGAAAATCTTGCATATTTTCTTTGAACGCTTTTTATCTAAAAATGGAAAAGGAACATGCACATCGCTCTAAGAAACTTGCCTTTAGTTGATGTAGCAAAAATAAGATGTGAGCTCGGGTGTGTTATGTCGTCCTCAGGGGATTGGGGGCTATGGCACGCAATATGCAATCACAATAAACTAGGCACTAGCATAAGGAAATCAACAAGAAGCTAAGCAAACTACAAGTTTAAGGAAATGATAAGACTAACACATATACACAAAGATAAACACAAAATAGAGAAATAGGACTCAAGCTAGGGAGCATTATCATCTAGATGCTTTAACAACCTAAGAGATTAGGGAGAACAAGTAACCAAGGAAACAAGCGGGAATGCACGTAGGTATCCTAGTCTACGAACCATTCTCATGATTAATAAACAAGGATTAGAACAAGGAATTGCCCCACTTTCGTGGTGAATCAATTCCAAGTTCATCAAGCACACAAAGCATCTAAAACCCCCAATTTCCCCTATTTTCGTAGGAAGAAATCGAGTCTATGCAAGGGGTGGCTTGGATTCATCACCCAACTCTCGTTGAGGCAAAGAATCCTCCAAAAACAAGCTAATGAATGTGTACATCAAACATTAACAAGATATAAACACAACACCTTCATAAACACATGAACCCTAAGTAGTGTTCTTCCCCTTTTTTACAATAATCACAAATCAAGCATCAAGATAGATAATACAACCCTAACTCAAGTCCATAAACTACCTACTCATGAATAAATAGCATAAAGAATACAAGAACACAAGTAATAAACATAAATCTTGCAAAGTAAAGAGATAAAAGGAAGAAGAACTTATGTATTGAAAATGGAAGAACAATCTTGAAATGTTGAAATCCAATCTCCAAATCCAAGATTACAAGCTTCAAAAGTGTTAAGAAACATAAATCTAAGTCTAATCTAACCTAAAAATATGAAAGGAAGTGAAAGGAAATGTCTAGGGTTGGAACAAGGTCCAAAACCAAGTTGAAATGACACAAAAACGCGCCTAAATAGAGCAGAGCAGATTGGGACGCCCTCAGGGATGGGCGTACGCCAGGGGGTACGATTTTTAGTGCATTTCCAGTGAAAAATGGATCAGGGAGAAGAGATGCGTACTGGCATGCGTATGGGCGTACGGCAGGGCGTACGAGGCTGCTGGAAACAGAATTCTGTGCACTTGTCTTGACTTCTAGGCTATTTTTCTCATCTAAAAACATTTTATTGGCACTTATGGTCTTCAACAAAGTTTTATCCCTTTAAGTTGGCTTTCCAATGGTGCACGAATCACTCCATTTGGACATTCCTAGGCTGAGATATAGTCAAAAAACCGAACAGTGTCCGAAATGGCGAAAATTACAATGTCTTGATCTTTTGCTCCTCTTTTGTTTTGGTTTGCCCAAATGACTAAGACCATTGAATACACCACTCTTATGTTTCCTTGAAAGTGTTTTGCCCATCAACTTAGCTTCTCCTTGGCTACCATGGACTCTAAATGTATCCATAATGCTCCACTTGACTCCAATATCCACCAAAATGCATGATATTACTCATCTTTGATTCCAATGCTTTCAAAACCAAACTCCTTGTAAAATAACACAATTTAGTCCCAATCTCATGAAATTTGGAATGATCTATATGCAAAATGGCTTAGAGAAATGGGGGAAAAATATAAACAAATAAGCACTTATCATTAGTCTTGCTAAATTTGATGACTGAAAATTAAGAATGCAGGCTCTCCTATGCTCTATTCATGATGAAATGTGGGACGTCATAACAACCGGACCAATCACGGTCATGATGGCGAATGCACAAGCAGCCGCACAGGGAGCAGGAGCTGCACAGATGATACCAAAGCCGAAAGACCAGTATACCTCGGACGAAAGAACAAGGCCAAATCTGGATAATGTGGCAAGAAATATTCTCTACAACTCTCTGGATGATTCCTTGTTTCCCAGAGTCCGAAAGTGCCAAAATGCCATGGAAGTGTGGAATGTCCTAATGAGTTTGGGAGAAGGAGACGAGCAAGAAAAGGACAACAAACTGACAATGGCCATGAAGAAATTTGAAGATTTCAAAATGCTGCCAAATGAAAAAATCATGGAGATGGAACTCAGATTCACCAGACTTATGGGCGATCTGTCAGATCTCGGGAAAGAGCTAACTGAAAAGGAGATGAATCTGAAGATTCTTCGTGGGTTACCAAAATCATGGGAAATGAAGGTTATTGCGATGAGGGATAATCGAGACATGAAAACAACAAGCACGGCCAAGATCTTTAGTGATCTCAAAGCATATGAGTTCGAACATGAACCGAAAGATACCGAAGAATCAGAAATGAGAAACATTGCTCTCGTGGCAAATTAATCAGCATCAACATCCAACAGGTCGAAATCTAACTCTTGTGATTTTTTATCTGATGAACAATATGCACTATTTGTCAGGAAAATGAAAAAGGTTCATGAGAAAGAACAACTTTCAAGACCCACAACGATCGGGCCACCGAAAGAAGCATGAGAATTCCCCTCAAACCTCAAAAACCGAAAACATGGACTCGCAACTATTGTGCTATAATTGCCGAAAGCCAGGACACTTCAAGGCGAACTATCATCATCCTATTGTGAGCAAGCATCAAGATAACAACACTACCACAAATCCCTCAAAAGAGACTGGAGAAAGATATAAAAGGAGCGATAAGCCCGAATCATCAAACTCCAGAAATGAAGGAAGAAGGAAGGCGATGGTAGTAAACGAAACTTCTGATACTGTTGCAATCGAAAGTAGCTCCTCAAGTTCGAGCTCAGAAGACGAAAACACTGATGAGGAGAAAGGACTGCTGTGCCTATTTAGTCGAGAGTCAGATGAACTGTGCCTCATGGCAAATGAAGATGAGGTAAACTCTCATTCATCTTCTTGTTATTCAGCTGAGTCAAGTTCTGTGGGAAGTCAAACCTCCAATGAATCTGTCACCGAAATGATGAG